CAGACAACGTGCACTAGGCCATCTCTTCCTCCTTTCTCCAACTCATTCATTCATTCACATTCACAGTACTCTTCTTCTCCATGGCCACGGTTCCCCTCCACATAATGCTCGGCTTTCTCCTCCTCTTGCACGCTACTCCTCCATGCTCCTCGGCAAGTGGCGATACTCTCGCGGCGGGCCAGGTGCTCACCGTCGGGGACAAGCTCGTCTCAGCAAACGGCAGGTTCGCGCTCGGCTTCTTCCAGTTCCAGCCACCAAGCAACACTACGGTTAGTAAGTCCATGTCCAACAACACCACCTCCCTCAGCTCCGACTGGTACCTTGGCATATGGTTCAACAAGATACGGGTTTGTACAACTGTGTGGGTCGCCAATAGGGAAGACCCAATCATCGACCCCAAACCCAACCTAACACAGCTCAAAATCTCAAGCGATGGCAACCTTGTCATCATACACCAGGGTGGTGTACTCTGGTCCGCTCTTGCTGTAAACAAGAATAGGACACGAACAAGCAACATGAACGCCACCAGTGTAGTCCTCACAAACAGTGGAAACCTAGCCCTCACATCATCATCTGGCCAACCATTGTGGGAAAGCTTCGACTATCCAACAGATGTTGTGCTCCCTGGCGCCAAATTTGGCTGGAATAAGGTCACCAGTTTGAACCGCCGGGGAATCTCGAGAAAGAGCATCGTTGATCCGGGGCTTGGCTCATATAGCATCGAGCTAGAAACCAATGGCAACGGGATAGTCCTCCAGTGCCGCAAACCCTCCGTTGTGTATCGGGTTTATGCGCCTGAGACATCAGAGATATTGAAACTTTTGCCGAGAATCCAAAAGATTCTGGAACTGGATACACGGACAAAAGGTTCGATTATCCCACATTATGTCAATACCAAAGAAGAGGAGTACTATATGTACACCTCACCCAATGAATCATCTTTCTCATTTCTCTCGGTAGACATCTCTGGTCAAATCAAGCTGAACATCTGGTCTCAAGCCAATCAATCTTGGCAAGTTGTATTTGCCGACCCTGTTGATGTCTGCACCCCAGCTGCAACCTGCGGACCTTTCACGGTATGCGACGCCAATGCGCAACCACCATGTGATTGCATGGAGAACTTCTCTAAGAAGTCGCCACAACATTGGGCGTTTGGTGATCGAACACATGGGTGCATCAGAAATACACCGCTATATTGCACCAGTGGCAAGAACACGACAACTTCAACAGACATGTTCTACCCCATTGCCAAAGTTACATTGCCCTACAACTCGCAAAGTGTAAACCTTGCTACCACTCGTAGTAAGTGTGAGGAATCTTGTCTCAGCTCGTGCACCTGCACGGCTGGCATGGGAAACTGCTTGCTATAAGTCTCAGTGATGGCCTTGAAATTAGTTCTGAAGATATTCTTTACCTGCGCCTTGCCGCCAAAGATCTGCCAAGTTTGGGAAAAGTCAAAAGAAAACCAAATGTTGGAGTTGTTACTGCTGCAAGCATTAGCAGTTTTGGGTTACTAATGCTCATGTTGTTGTTAATAGTTTGGAGGAAAAAACTTGGATGGTGTGGTTCGCCGTTATACGCCAATCAAGGCCCTAGTGGGTTAATCGCGTTTAGATACACTGATTTAGCTCATGCTACAAAAAACTTCTCTGAACATTTGGGAACAGGTGGTTTTGGTTCTGTATATAAAGGATCACTAAGTGACTCGACTACTATAGCAGTAAAAAGGCTTGATGGTGCCCGCCAGGGGGAGAAGCAATTCAGAGCTGAGGTGAGCTCAATTGGACTGATTCAACATGTTAACCTAGTCAAATTGATTGGTTTCTGTTGCCAAGGTGATAACAGATTACTTGTGTATGAGCATATGTTTAATGGATCTCTTGATGGACATCTATTTAAGAGCAATGCCGTCCTGAATTGGGACATTAGGTACCAAATAGTACTAGGAATCGGTAGAGGACTATCCTACTTGCATCAGAGTTGTCGCGAGTGCATCATACACTGCGATATTAAGCCAGAGAACATACTGCTCGATGCATCATTTTTTCCTAAAATTGCAGACTTTGGGATGGCAGCTTTTGTGGGCAGGAATTTTAGCCGAGTCTTGACTACATTCAGAGGAACTGTAGGTTATCTCGCCCCAGAGTGGCTTAGTGGAGTTGCTATCACACCCAAAGTTGATGTTTACAGCTTTGGCATGGTACTGTTTGAGATCATATCAGGAAGAAGAAATTTACCTGAAGCATGTACTGGCAGCGGTGATCGTGTTGATTATTTCCCTGTGCAAGTCATCAACAAGCTTTGTGGGGGAGATATGCAGAGTTTGGTCGATCCACAACTACATGGTGACTTTGATTTGAAACAGGCTGAGAGGGTTTGCAAAGTGGCATTATGGTGCATCCAAGATGACGAGTCCGATAGGCCGACGATGGGTGAAGTGGTTCGGGTTCTCGAGGGTCTCCAGGAGATCGACATGCTTCCGATGCCAAAGCTACTTGCAGCTATAACTGGACGCCCTAATGGAACTTCAGTGTAATGATCTAGAAATGCAACTGCAATCAATGTTGTACTAATATTTGTTTTAGCAAATCTTGAAGTTGCATTGTGTACTGAATTAATAAAGGAAGGCAAGCAAGCTTGCAATTACTATTGTCCTCTTAACTGATATAAATATACGTCCATGGATCCATCAGACTAGAAGAATGTTCACTCACTCGATGAGAGCACCCGCGGGATGAAGTCGTTGGTGCAGTCGTAGCGCGCCGATTTGTGCTTCTCCATCGGAACGCTGCCGCCGTCGTCTCCACGCACTATCTGCACGCCAGTGAGCACGGCGAGTAAATAGCATAAAACTACTACTTTACAGGTTAGAGTTTCAAAAAACTACCGATTTTTAAATTTTCTCAGATAACTACCAAATGGGAGGTCGGCTGTTTCAAAAAATTCAAATCGTCGAGTGCTTTAAGATTGATCATGATTATGACAGGTCGGGCCCGCAACTAAACGAACTGTGTGTTTGTGTGTTTGACCGTTACGTTGACTGTTAACTTACAAATAGAGCCCACATGTCAGTGTCTCTTTCTTCTCTTTTCTTTCTCTCCCTCCCCTGAACTCTTTTTCTCTCGCGAGCTCGAGCACAACACACAACCCCCCTCCCGAGCCATCGACTGTCTTCTCCCAAGCCGGCGACACGCCTCCCCGGCCTCCCTCTCTCCTCCGCCGCCGGAGGCCACCAGCTCGCCGCCGCCGCCGACAGCTAGCTGCTGCAAGGTTCGACAGCCAGGGCGCATGCGCTAGGCCAGCGGCTCTGTTGTCTCCCGAGCCAGCGACACCCCTCCCGGCCTCCCTCTCTCCTCCGCCGCCGAAGCCACCAGCTCGCCGCCGCCGAAGCCACCAGCTCGCCGCCGCCGGATGCGACCAGGTCCGACGGCCAGGGCGCATGCGCCAAATCGACGGCCAGGGAGCAACAACAGAGGCCATCGCGGCTCGGCTGCTGCAAAGGAGCAACAGCAGAGGCCGTCTCTGCGGCAAGGAGCAGGAGAGGCCGCCCTACAGGTGCGTGGCGGCGGCATGGAGCACGGCATGGCGCGGCGGCAGCCGTGAATAGGGACCCGAGCACTACAGGGACCTGATTGCTTTTTTTCAGAAAAACGACAGGGACCCGATTGCTTTTTAGAAATGTTTACAGGGGCTATTTTGTAAAAAAGTGAGGACTGACATGTGGGCCTCACTTGTAAGTTAACGGTCAACCAAACGGTCAACCAAACGGTTCGTTTAGTTGCGGGCCCGACCTGTCATAATCATGATCAATCTTAAAGCACTCGACGATTTGGGTTTTCTGAAACAGCCGACCATCCATTTGGTAGTTATCTGAGAAAATTTAAAAGCCGGTAGTTTTTTGAAACCCTAGCCTGTAAAGTAGTAGTTTTATGCTCTTTACTCGAGCACGGCAAAGCGCTCGCCGGTGAGAACAGCGAACTGCTGGCCACTTCCGCGCCCGTCGACTGCGAAGACTGCACAACGCAGAACCTGCAGGAACCCAGGTTCCCCACCGAGCGGTGCATCGGCAGCTTCGACCACTCCACCGTGCCGGCCAAAACAATATTTTGTTTTCAAGATTGCTTGTTCAATAGTAGTACATGAATTATTCATTGAAATGTGTGAACACTTCTAAATCGCATGAACATTTTTTTTAATAGGTGAACATCTTCTTGATATTTTTTTAGAAATGTGCTAAACACTTTTTTATTACATGAGCATTTTTTTATAATGTGTCAAACATTTTTAAATTAGATTTTCAACTGACTGATTAAAACACATATGTGGAACACTTTCTAAAATTACATTAATTTTTATACACCCATATTTTTCTAATTACATGATCATTTAATAAAAATGGATCAGACAATTTTAATTTTAATGATTTTTAAAAATGCGTCGAGCACTTTCTTTAGTTATGATAATTTGTTAGAAGGTGAAACAAAATACTTGAACATGTCTTAAAAACACTATTCTTTTTTTTAATAAACTGTCAAGATTATCAAAATACACAATAAACATTTTTAACTCACATGTCTGACGTTGTCTAAACACACATTGAATATTTCTGTAATACCCAATGAATATATTTTTAAATACATGCAGTTTTTTACAAAGTTAGTAAACTAAAAACTATTTGAAAACAAAATAAAGCATTTCTAAATGTAGAGTAAAAATGAAAAAAATATAACATAAATCAGAACATAAAAAATATAACCATGCATGCATGTGGTCCTTTGTGTGTGGCTGGCTGGACATGTGTGGTCGCCTCGTCCATTGGGTGTGCCTCATGTATGTGGTGTTGTGAGCGACGCCCCATGGCGCTGGTAAAACAACGCCCTTAGGACATGTACAATGTTGCTATCCTAACAATGCATCTAAGATAATTGTTGATTTGGAGGATAGATAAATGACAGAAATAGACTTGCCTTGTTTTAGCTAAGAGGTGGCCTTTAGGAACAAGATAAAACAATTTTATCCATCCTGTAAGATGCATTTTCTTATTTACACATTTTCTAGTATAATCCCCACTACTTTAGGAGATAAAGTACTCCGTTGTGCAATATGTTTTTTGTCTTCTCTAAATGGCATGCATGGTATTAGGTAAGACTGTCTTATCAATGGATTGTACATGCTCTTATGGCACCCAGACACTGGTTTGGATCAATACCCACTCATGCATATGACACGTAAACTAATCTCATTTTTCATGTGGAAAGGTAAAAAAAACTAATCCTTCTAGAAAAACTAATCTTCATTTCTCTCTTCTTTTTCTTCTTCTTTTTTTTTACATAATTCCTGTGCGGATTAATCCAAGAGGCAACAGGCATAGAAAAACCGACTCAATTCTAAGAGAAGGATATGGCAAGAAACTTAAACTAAGGTACATGTAATTCCAACAAATAATTTCTTTGATCTGCAACACCAGACATGAAAGTGTTGAGTCACATCAATATCCCCATAAAAAGAACCTAAACAAATCTGAAGTGGATTAGCTAGCGACCACTACTGATCTCATCTAATTACTAATCGAGCAAAGACTAAGGTTTCTTGTGTGTGAAAAGGGCCTAGAAATATTATAAAGATTCACCAGAAATACAAAGCACACAAAACATAATAAAAATGACATTGATGAGTAGTTTCTCAAATAAAAGATGGCATCTTCTGATTAAGCTATTCTTGCATATCAAAGCGAAACTACTATCCTAGTTGTATTTTTCCCAGCTCATCATTAGTTTAGCTCCATCTTCGTGGATGGTTTAATCTCCTTCTTCTTCCATGAGTTCGAGCTGCAGACGAGGCATCAATTATACATGAATATATTCAAGTGACATTAACAGTACGTGCTACTAATTAAAACCATTGCTCAACGCGATTAGCATGTAGCGAACGAGATGGATGGATTAAGAGAATATACTTACTTGTCCCATGTTTGCATGGCAACAAATATATATACATGCGAGAAGAAAATTACACACAAATACATACATACATACACTGATACATACATATGCATAGTATTCACCCAAACACTAGCTAGATTCTACTCCCTCCGTTCCCAAATATAAGTCTTTGTATAGACTCCACTATGGACTACATACAAAGCAAAATGAGTGAATCTACACTCTAAAATGCGTCTATATATATCCGTATGTGGTCCATAATGAAATATCTACAAAGACTTACATTTAGGAACCGAGGGAGTACAAGTCGTGCATGCAGACGATTACATGCATCTACGTCGCCGTCAATGACACCGTAGTGATTGGTGCAAGATTGACACACCTCAAGAGCTAGCATACATCGATGATGGATGGATCATTATTTAGCTGGTATCTTTAAGAGGCAAACAACGTGCAATTGTTTGTTAGAAGATAGGCAGTTGAAAATAAAACTAAACAGAAATACAGAATCATAATCAAGGTCGTAATTCAGAGGCGTGGCAGTGCAAAGGGGGCAATTAACTCAAGGAGGAGAAGAAAAAAGAAGAAATGACTACCTGTTGGATTCATCCGGCGGCGTGCGGTCGTGGTGGTCGTCGGCGTCGATGCCTTCCAGTTCCAAGAAGGGCGAGATCTCGTCATACTCGTGCTGATGGCCGCCAGCGGTAGCAGTGTGATCGAATAACAACTGATACTGGTTTTCTTCTTGCCCGACGACGCCACCCATGTTGGCAATGGCGCCCTCGTAGTACTGCGGCTGCATCTTCCACGGCAGGGACGGTGCAGCAACGACGCCGTCGTCACCGTTGTCATTACCGTATAATCCTGACGATGCTGGTACATATTTGTGCTCGTCCAAGTAGTGCATGTTGCTACCCTCGGTCGGCGCCGGAGGTACATCTCCGGTGGGCGGCGGCAGGGAGAGGGGAGGGGAAGGCTCGAGGCGGCGGCGGTAGTGGTGGATCTGGGCTTGGAGGCAGCGGAGGATGCCGTGCTCCTGGCGGAGCTGGCTCTCCAGAGCCACGATGGCGGGGAGGCAGCCGCCGGCCGGGTAGGTGTCCCAGGCGGCGGCCTCGTAGGCGAGGCCGCGCATGGCGTCGTCGCGGCGGGCGCGGTCGGGGCCAGCGCGGCGGAGCGTCTTGAGGATGTTGCTGACGCCGAAGAGGCGGTGCGCGCTGCGGAAGAGGCCCGGGCGGTCGTGCGGGAAGTAGCGCGCCAGCGGGCACTCCGCCGTGCACCGCCGCCGCTGGTGCTTGCACGCCGCGCACGCGGGCTGCTGTTGCTGCTGCTGCTGCCTCGCCGCCGGCATGGCATCCCCAGCTATAGTCGCCTACCACTTTTTCCGCTTTGTTTGTTGTGTGCTCTGCTTGATAATAGGATCGATGGTTGTCTTCATGCACGAGCTAAGCTTAATACTTAGTTAGAATATTATTTTTTAAACAATTAGTTAGAATATTGTCTGGTAAGGATACATTAGACACGTACGTGCTCAACTTATCCAAGCAAAGTTAAGAGAAGGATTAGTTAGAAACGTGTGAAAACAGATTTTTATTTC